GGAAGGAGCCTGCCATGGGGGAGGAGAGGTGGCAAGTGGTTGTGCCCAAAGCGCTAAGAGAAGCCGTGCTGAGGGCATGCCACGGGGGTACAGGTGCAGGCCACTTTGGGAGCTCTAAGACCCTCCGTCGGCTGCGGCAGGGATTTTACTGGGGCCAGCATCGCCGTGACGTGGATGATTTCTGCCGGCGGTGTGACGAGTGTGCAGCATATAAGGGACCTCTCGACCAGTCGCACGCGCCCCTGCAACAACAAGCTGTTGGAGCACCCATGGAGAGAGTAGCGGTGGACATTATGGGACCCTTCCCGGTGACAGATTGAGGGAATAAATATGTGTTGTGTGCAATGGACTATTTCACAAAATGGCCAGAAGCTTATGCTCTGCCAGATCAAGAGGCAGAAACAGTGGCAGATGCTTTGCTGGAGGGCATGTTCAGCCCGGGTAAGGAGATGGGCCAGCCAGACCATAACCTACCCCCTACAGCCCCATATGTCGAAACCCATGTTTCTCTGAATTGGCATGCACCCAGTGTTCCCCCCTATCCCCCAATCCAGCAGTCTCCTAGGGTGCAGGCCACTATCCTCAACCAGCCTCTCTCCCCCACCTACCAGTATTACCCACCTCTCACTCCTGTGACACAGCCCCCCCTTGCCCATACCCAAACTATACCACCCTAGACCACCACTGGAAACTCCTGGCGCCCCCCCCGCTCCCACTTCCACTTTACATGGGATTTGTGCAGACACATCAAATGAGAAACATGCAAGTATTCACGGGAAATGCAGATAGCAAGATGCTGGTGGAGGATTGGATTCGCGACCTGCAGTATCTGTTGGATGCACTTGACCTCCCCACCCACCTCCGGTTCTCCACAGTAGGGCGACACTTGAGTGGTGAAGCCAGGAAGCTGGTCCTGAACCTCCATCCCACTCACCAGACCCCAAAGATAGCCTTTGGTGAGCTCAGAGCAGATTATGGCGACATTCAAAGTTTCTTCGATCCACTGGCTGACTTTTATGAGTGCAGCCAGAGGCCCGGAGAGTCAGCCTGTTCATACGCTATTGCACTAGAGGCATTACTGCGTGGGGTTGAGGAAGACCAGCAACATGGCAAACCTTTCTCTGATCGAGACAGCAAGCTCACCTGCCAGTTCTTACAGGGGTTGATTGACGAAGAGGTATATGCTTGTATTGCACCAATAAAACCAAGACTTTTGAGTTTCCACGAGTTGCAGGCTGAACTTCGAGACCTGGCCAGAGAAACCAGAAAGTTCGATCCCCACCGCAGAAATAAGAAACCAATGTCCCAGATGCACCTCGCACAGGCGGGTGGTGCCCCCACGATGGCAGATAGGATGAAACAAGCCTCTGGACTGGCAGAACTGACTGAGATGGTCAAGAAGCTGGCTCTAAGCCAAGAGGAGCAAATAATTAAGCTGTCACAACTGGCATCCAGGATAACTGCCTCTGAACCCCCTGCCATCCAGCCTGCAACCCCCCCTTCACAATGCAGACCATTAGCGGCGTCTGGAAAGGCATTGTACATGTGTGGGTTACATCTTTTGTTGCTCATTTTGAGGGAACAACTGTAGCCTAAAAAGTTTATGGTGACCACAAACCTCTGGAACACCATAGTGCATGTCTAATATACTGGTTCATGTAGCTCAAACCATAAAAACATGCTATGTTATTCACCTGCCATAATCATTTCAGTCACTTTATTTATTCCCTAGGGAGAGAAGCATCATAAAAGATTATAATGAAAATATCTGATACACAAGTTTTTCTTTAATGGAGGAACAAAATAAACAATATATTTAACAATATACAAGTGTACTAATATCACTTTCACAGTGTTGGAGAGTAACCTTTGTGTGTTTAAGGTTCCACTGATCAGCAGGTTTGAGTCAAATCAGCCAAGAACACATAGTGGTGTCCCACATGTCAAACTGATACCTGAGCAGATTTGGACGGATACTAAGACCATGCACACAAACTCCAAAAACCTCCCTGTCATTGGATTAATATAATCAATACAGTATTGTAGGATCACTATGTCTGAGCAACATTTTTGATGTACTTGGTTGATATCAAGTCCAGTTTTCCCACATAAAGTGATTTCAAGAGCTGGGAGCCACTTCAACTACTGTCAGCAGAATATTATATAACTCTCATATTGTTCAGCTGCTTGTTAGATATGTTCTGTAATGATGTGGTAAAATATCTGAAATGCTACAAAAGCTGACAGATTCACCAGCTGCAACTTATGCAAGATGGGCAGTAGCCTTCATATCAGGTTGAAATTCCAGACCAGGGTTCAAACATACATGTTTTCAATTCCCAGTGGGGTTTCCTAAATGGTTCACTTGAACTGATGACTGCAACTGACTGTCATGATGTTTTTGAGTTTTCATAGTGGCCATGCAGGATTTATTGGTAGTTACAGTGGAAGATAGGCCTGGCAATAACAGAGATTTACTGGAATTGGGGGATGGGACCATTGTCAAAAGAATCAAATCAACACTTTGAGATCAGTGTAACATAAGGAGCTTGTGTTGAAACAGTGATGTGAGCCTTAAAGTGTAACTTTGCCAGTGGAATTCCTGACCTATGGTGAAAATCTACCTGCTCATTACAGCCAGTCCATTAGTCTTATCTGACTTATCCTGCTCCCTCTCCACCTCCTCATTCTCAGTCCCTACATATGGTATGTCTCCTCCTTCATGGAAAAATCATATATACTGTATATGTTTTTCAGAGTTTGCCCCACGGCTAGATCTACGTCTTTCAGTTACTCTGCCCCTTTTTGCTTGCATTGTGCATTGTTGTTTTGTGTTTTTTCCTCGTCTTTGGTATTCCCAGTTATCTGTTAGCCACTCTGACTCTGTGGGTAAGATGCTTGTCAACTGCGCTGTGGAGTGAATGTTCCGACACTGTGTTCTTACTTGACTGCCAGCATACACTGTGCATTTACCCATCCTAGTCCTCTGTTTCCTGCCATTCTCCTACCTGCACCCTGCATACTCTGGTCCTACTGTTACCTGCCAGCACACCCCAATCCTCTGGTTCTCCGGTTACCTGCCGTCCTCCTGCCATCTCACCTATCTCTCCTGGTTCTCCTGATTCCTCTTGTTCTCCTGCCGTCCCTCCTGGTCCTCTGGTGGCCCTGGTTCCTGCAACTCCTTGTTTCCCTCCATTGACTCTGGCAATGAACTTCAATAAACTTCATTCTTGTTAATCCCCTGGTATTCCATACTTTTGGGTCCAACCTCACATACACAACCTAACAATTGTTTTATTTTGGAAACAATCCAGAAAGTAAATTCTCAGGGACTAAATGATGAAATAATTCCTGCCTGCAGGGATACACTTCTTTTCTCTGTACTTTAACCAGAACCTCAACTTTTTATTTTGTTTTTTCCACTAGATCATCAGGAGTCAATGACTCCGCCTCTGGCCAGATCTCTTCCAGCCCAGCTCAGCCACTGGTGGCACCAGCTGAGGTTTTGTCATGAGAACAAGAAAAGATGGGACGAGATGTTGGAAAAGATGTTTCTGCTTCACAAACTGTATCAAGTGTCACTTGCCACCACTTTTAACAATGAACTGAAAGATGTCAGTATTATGCAAATACTGTTTAATTTGGGGATTTTCTTTTTTCTTTCAGTACAAATGATATTTCTCTTCTCTGTGTAGCAAAAAAAAAAAGTATAACGAAACTGCTAAGCTCTGCATCCACTAATATCTTTGAGAGAGGTATGACTGAACTGTGAATTTAAACTTCACTGTGTTATTTCAATGTAAAGTGTAAAGTGTCAGATGTAATTTATGAAATTGTGATCCTCTCACTCAGGTGCTCTTGGGGAGACAGCGCTTCATATTGCTGTGATGAATGATAATGTGGAGGCAGCAGTGGATCTGATGGACGGGCCTCCTGAACTCATCAACGCTGACATAAAAAAAGAGGGATTTAGGGGAAATTTAATTCATTCTCCCTCTTGTGTTTATGTAGTGTTTTCATTAATCTTCCTCTCAAGATTTCTTATTAGCTCAAAATATGAATGTCTCAGCAGTTTACCAGTAATGACCTCCTCACAGCCTTTTCTCCTGTTTTAGAAAATCAGAACACAACTAAATGTAGTGCACGCATGTTGTTTGCACAACCAACACAATATGTGAGGACTGTGACATGTTTCATTTACATATTAATCCATCATATAATAATGAAACTCTGAAAGGGGTATTCTGTATAATGAGAATTTCTACTTTTAATACTACAAGTACATTTAGTAAACAGTAAAAATAAAAGTTTGTATCCAGGCCTTTTACTTGTAATGCAGTATTTTTGTAATGTAGTATTATGTGAATACTTCTCATCACTGCTTAGAGCAAAGCAAAATAACCAACTTTGTCTGTCTGTCCTCTGTCTCAGGTGTCACTCCTCTCCACATTGCTGTGGTGAATCAGAACATCAGTTTGGTCCATCACCTCATTAGTCATGGTGGTGATGTGGCTACACCTAGAGCCACTGGGCTGTACTTTCGGAAGAGGAGAGGAGGACTCATTTACTTTGGTGAGTCAGCATGAGCGAGCCTAAAATGTACAGGGTGGCTGAGTAATGACAAAGCTGATGGCTTGATTCCCAGGCTCTTCCTGGCCACTTGTAGACATGTCTTTAGCAAGACATTAAACCCCAAACTGACCAAAATGAATGTGTACATGCAAAATGCATGCACATTTTGGAGCAAAGTATTTTACAAATAAATGTATTGCATCTAAGTCCCACAAAACAGATTGTTTTTCTAAACATACTTTTGGTCAACAGGTGAGCATGTCCTATCTTTTGCTGCATGTACTGGGAATGAGAACATTATCTCTATGGTCATTAACGCAGGGGGCCAGCACCAGGGTCCAGGACTACCTAGGTATGATATCTTTTGAATGAGAGTTATAGAAAAGAGTACAATATAATTTCATATTTGTGTTTTAGTCTGACAGTTCTTCTTGTTCCTCATGTCTCGTCTACTTTTCCTCTTCTTGTCTTTTTTTCTAGGCAACACAGTACTTCACATTTTTTGGTTCTGCAGCCCAACAAGATAACTGCCTGCCAGACCATTGACCTGATAATGGCACATGATACAAAGCTGGACCATTCTGTGCCACTCGACATGGTGCCCAACCTCCGAGGCCTAACACCAATGAAAGTGGCTGCCAAAGAGGGAAACACTGTGGTGAGTAAAGGGCCAAAGGGTAAAATCCCTACTTGAAAGGTGGAGCAGATTATTTGGCCTTTCCTCACCTCATTTGTCATTCGCTTTGTCTCTCTCAGGTATTTCAGCACCTTGTTAATGAAAGACATGTAGTCCACTGGAGTCTGGGCCCTTTGACTTCTAACCTCTATGACCTGACAGAGATCGATTCCTGGGCTGGCAACATGTCAGTGCTGGAGCTTATTGTGAGGAGCCACCACAAAGAGGTATATATAGCAATTAATAAGACACCATTTTGTCAAAAACAATGACACTAATGTGATGAACAAATTAAAACTACTTTCATTTTGTTTTCCAGGTCAGGACACTACTGGAGGTGACCCCAGTGAAGCAGCTGGTCAGTCTGAAGTGGAACCTGTATGCAAAACATTACTTCAGGTAAAGTTTGACATGAGTCTCTGAAGTAAAATATCTGTTCACATGTCCAGCCTTGTTTACAGTGTTATCTTTTCCTTTCCTGTGTCAGGCTCCTGATGATTGTGTATCTGCTCTACATCTTGATCTTCACACTGTGTTGTGTATTCCGCCCTCTGAAGGACATTCCAGAGAACTACACACAATCAGACAGAGACAAAACCATCCGGATCCCAAAATCACTCAAAGTGTGTTAAATTTATTTATACTGGACCATAAACAGATCTCAGCAGTGGTGGAATGTAACTAAGCAGTCTGTATTTATTCCAGTACTGTACTTAGATTTGAGGTATTTGTGTTTTACTCCCATTATATACAGCTGTTTTACTCCACTACATTTATCTGACATCTATAATTACTAGTTACTTTACAGATTCAGATTTTAGCAACATGTAAAACATATACATTTTAAAATATGATAAATTATATCTAAATATAATAAAGAACTATTGTAGATAACAGCATTTAAAATGAGCCCCATTTCTATCAACTTGCGCTTACACCTAGCACACATGTTATGTTGAAGTTCAATATAGGACTTTTATTTATAATGTAGCATTCATACTTTTATACTGTGGCATTGCAATTTTTAATTAATTAAAAGATCCCCACAAGACATTTTTCCTTAAACTAGCAATGGTGGCAGAGATGTCATTTCTTGTTACTGTTTTGCTACTTTTAAAAAGTCCTTATGAAATACAGTAGATGATATAAAACTTATTAATTAAAAACGTTCTCTTTTTCCCATGTTTCAGGAAAGTTATGTGACACCTCAGGACAAAGTGCGACTGGCAGGCGAGATCGTCAGCCTCCTGGGAGCTGTTGCCATTTTGTTGCTTGAGGTGTACTTATGAAACGTGCTTCTTCTTCTTCTTCATACATGCTGTATCCTATATTACACTGTACTGCACATACACATCCTGCCTTGTCCTGTTTTCCAACAGGTCCCCGATATAGCGAGATTTGGTGTAAAGCGTTATTTTGGCCAGACAGCACTGGGAGGCCCCTTCCATGTCATCCTGTAAGTACAAACTCCTCTGAGCAGTAAAATGAAGCCTGCTGTGTTGAAAACCCTTCTGACTTTTCTGTTGCTGTTGTGATCAGTATCACCTTCGCATGTTCGGTACTGTTGCTGCTGGTGTTCAGAGTCTGTGATGTGCAACGAGAAGGCGATGTGATGGCAGTGTGTTTGGTTTTCTGCTGGTGCAATGTCATGTTCTTCTCTCGAGGATTTCAACTGATTGGTCCTCATGTCATCATGGTACAGAAGGTAGGAGACAGCTCAGCCTGGACACAGACAAGAGTTCATTAGTAAAGTGGGAAATCCGCCTTGTTCCAAATGAACTTGTAATTAAATGTTTTGGAAGCAGATGTGTTCATTTCTTGTTTACATTCCTGTTAATTTATTGCTGTTTTCAGACTGCACCTTGTGTCTCATTTGTCCATAGATTATACTTGAAGATCTGGGGACGTTTATGTTGCAGTTGTTCATTCTCACAATTGCTTTTTCCAGCGGTAAGTATAGTTTGTGGAACCAGTCTTAGCAAACCTTGAACACTCATAAAGCTTCTAAGATCACGCTTTACAAAACTTTTACATTTCACAGTATTTACCTGCATTTTCAGGTTTTATGGTTAATTCGTCTAATTCATTTTGTATCATATTGTTGTTTTTATAGCTTTTTAACACCTGGTCGAGGGACAACCTTTGAAAATTAGGTTTTTTGGCTAACACTGACATATTTACACTAATGTTTATTGATATGCTTTGATCCTGAAATAAAAATAATTTAAAGTATAGCAGATATTATATAGACCTTGGAAGTTTTATGTGGCAGGAGTTAATTTCCTCACTTGCTTTTGCCAGTGGTAAGTATAGTCTGTGGAACCACACCTAGCAAACCTTTAACACTCACAAAGCTTCTTAGCTAAGATATGTTTGAATTAAGAAATTTTAGCAATGTGGATCTTGTCCTTTTTTCTGATTTCCTTCTCAGGCATATGGATAGTGTATATGACCCAGGACCCTGCTGCTATGCCTACGTTTGTCAACTTCCCCATTATTCTTTACACTGAGTATGAGTATTGTTTGAGCATGCTGAATATTCTTTGGGACCCCACCATCTATACACCACCCATGGCTTTTGTGTTACTCGTTGTCTTCTCAATAATCGCTGGCGTCCTTTTTGTAAATCTACTGATAGCCATAATGACTGATACAGAGTGGGATGTGTCGCAGGACAAAGATCTGCTTTGGAAAATTCAGGTAACACATATCACACTTTAAATAGGATTCATTTACAGACACATAATCAGGCTCATAAGTAACTTTGCCTCTGTACACCACCACAATGAACTTGAAATGAAGAAGTCAATATATTTTAAAAGTGTATATATTCAGCTTTAATTTAAGGGGTTTCACAAAAACATTGTGCTACCCCATTTAGGAATTACAGCCATCTTTATACATAGTCCCCCATTTTCAGAAGCTCAAAAGTAATTGGATATACTAACATAAAGATATATAAAATTATTTTTAATATTTGGATGTAAATCTTTTGCAGTCAATGACTGCCTGAAGTCTGGAACCCATGGACATCATCAGATGCTGAAATTCCTCCTTTAAGCTGCTTTGCCAGGCCTTTACTCCAGCTGCCTTCACTTGATGCTTTTTTGTAGGTCTTTCTGTCTTTAGGTTTGTCTTCAGTAAGTGAAAAGCATGCTCAGTTGGGTTGAGGTCAGGTGATTGACCCAACCATTGAAGAATATTCCTTTTCTTTGACTTGAGAAGCTCTTTGGTTGCTGTCACGCTATGTATCCATTGTGGTGGTGTACAGAGGCAAAATGACAAAAATTGCATCCTTCAAATATTTATGAACCTGACTGTAAATATAAATGGGCAGAAACACTTTGTCATGTCCCTGTGCATTTCTGTGTCATAGTAAGAGCTATTTGGATGTTGTGCAGGTGGTGTCTACAATTTTAATGCTGGAAAGGAAGCTGCCGCGCTGTCTGTGGCCTCGTCTTGGGGAATGTGGACTAAAATACGGCCTGAAGGACACCTGGTATTTCAGGTATGAAAGTCCTGCAGTGAAGCTTCAAATAAATATACGGCACAATGTTCATGTTGTCCAGTAAGAAGTACAACTCTCACTCTCTGCAAATATTATCACTCTCCCACATTGTGACTAACTTTTGTAGTCTGTGTGTGTACCTGGGTGAAAAGATAACAGTAGCCCAGTATCAGTAAGAGAGTGAGAGCTGTATGTCTTATTCAAAGTGCAACATGACTTGTAGCTGTATCGCTCTGAAGGCTACATAGGTTGTGGTCAGTACATAAACATGTTTCAGTGTAAACAAATCACTGCATCTCCCAAAATGCTGAGCCATTCCTATTAACATGCTGTATCTGCATGACACAGGATAACTAAGGGTGCACCAAAAGCTCAATAATACTAAATAACTTAACTGTAAATAAATGTTTACAGTTTAAGGGCATTTCTCTTGGACCATCTATGACTGCTGGTTTACTCTATTATCTTTGCAGGCTTGAAGAGACAAATGACCAAATAATACAAAATATGAGACAATACTTCTCAAAGCAAAATGAAAGAAAGAAAAAGGAAAGCCTAGACAAGACTGGCCCAGTAAAGGGGGCGTTCTTCAGGATCCCTGATCCCAAACCTCAAAACGTTGACAGGAAGGCTAAAAGGGTGGCACCTGATTCATCGCAGCACTTTGGATTTGGAGATGAAGCTGAAATATTTGGAGGACAAAGACTTTAACCCTATGTATATACAGTATGTCTATGATATGATTCTGTCTGTGAGCTTGAAATGCATTTCTGTGCATTTTCATTTTCTGAAATGCCCAATTATTGCAAAGAGAAATAATCATTGATACAGAGAAAATCTCTCCTGAATAATTCTCCTATCTTTGTCTATAAGTGGCTTTCAGGCAGTGAAGATATTTGTGTATGAATTGTTGTTTAGCATTATCATCTTCTATCATACACTATACTCTGAAAATGGTCAAATATACTATATAAAAAGATTAAATTTTTAATGCAATAAAACCTTTGATCAAAATGTTTCACATAAAGGTTTCAATATGAATGTTTATTTATTTTTCTATTGACACCTGAAACTACAGAATTTGCAGATGGACAATGTGGAGCCAGTTCGTTTATATTGAAAGAGAAGACTAATAAGAGAATATATATTTCTCAATATGAAATTTATTATGCATTAACGTATCAAAATTAACATGTGCACATGGAGCCTATCTGTTTAGGATAAACAAGAAAGACTGACTTCAACTTAGTGGGTAACAATATTTGTATGAAAAGGTACTACTATCTAATTGGTCCAAAACAGTTGGGGAGGAGCCGTGGTTTAGACTTAACTCTCCCGTTATTGATCCTTCAGTCCGTCCGTCCTCTCTGCTCCAATCATCGTGGACAGCGCCCTAGAAAGGAGGAATACCTGTACTACTTTAATTCCTACATACACACTCACGTCTTCCTTTGTTTTCACTTAATTAAAACTGTTTTACCTGGGTGTGTGTGTGCATAACTGTTCTCCCTTTGAAGCTCTCTCATCTACGTCTAATCTATTTTAATAAACTTGGAGCCTTACCGTACCAAGACTCCTTTGGGTCCACCAATCCAGAGGAACGATACGTAACTATGAGCTCCCTTAGCTACAGCCATAAATCTAATGAAATTCAGTAATTTAGTGGACAAGACTTATGATGTTGCATTAGTGTTTCAGTGACTCACACAGCAGATATTTGACTAGTAGTTAAGTGAACACATAGAGTGATATTCATAATTATATAAGCATATCTGTGACATATAAGTATGTAAACTTATGTGTATTATAAAATAAAACCATTCTTAAGTGCATAAAATAAAAATCACCCTAACAAATCCCTCCTTTTACACCTTTTAAGGTGTAAACTAATACGACCTAATTATGCAAAACATTATATAGGTTTTTACTGGTGACACAAACTTGTGACAGTTCTAATTAAAACATAATTGTGAAAACATAGTGAAACTTATCCTCTGCATGAGCTGTGACTTTTGACCGTTACTGGGCCTATCCAGGCCATCAGCCGACATCTCTGGTCCCAGGTCATCACAGGGGAATTTAACAAATGAACTCAAACACAATTAGTAATATAATATGTATCCAAAGAAAATTACGTGAGTTAGATTATTAATGTAGTTCAGTACTAGTTTCCTTATCTTTTCACTCCTTGTACAGGAACTTTTAACCTTCACACCTTTAATCATTTCAACCAATACTGCAATTAAAACATGATCATGAAATGGAATTTAAAGTAAAAATGTAAATGAGACTGATAAGATGGTTCTTTCCCTCATGCTCCATAACACAATTGTCTGTACTGTTGGACAAACAGTTTCAATGCAAACACATCATTTCATCTGTATTAGATTTCTCATCATTTCTTAATGTCACTGCGGTGCAGACGAAAAAACCCCATGATGATGTTTTGTGGGGAAAAATTGTCATGCACGACCCCCTGGATCCTCAAGAGACGGAAAAACCCCTTCATGATGGTTTTTTGGGGAAAACCGTCTGCA